GTTGCATCCAATCATCGGATTGGTGTCGAGCTCCGACGGCTTAATAAACAGTTAAATGACGAAATCAAAGGGCAAATACCCGAATTATCGCTTATGATTAACTTTGCACCTACTGGTCCAGTGGAGAGCCAAATAAGATCGAATAACAGGACTACTGCTGTAGTGGTCCGTTCAGATATAGTGGGCAATAAAATACAAGATGATGCTTGGCGCTTGATCGAGTTGTTGACCAAAGAGGATGACCGCGACAACCCTCTTGTATATGCCATCGTTGGAATGGGAGGGATTGGCAAAACCACCCTGGCCAAATTAGTATTTGATGATCACATAATCGCAAGCCGCTTTCAGGTAAATGTGTGGGTCTCTGTATCCCAGAATTACAATGAAAATGATATATTGAGAAACATCATAACATCTGCTGGCGGAGATGGTGAGCGTTGTTACAATTTTGACTCGCTCAGTAAGAAGGTTATCGATATCGTGAAAGACAAAAGGGTATTTATGGTGTTGGATGATGTGTGGGAGACTAAGAGAGTATGGAATGACATGTTGAGAATCTTGCTAAAGAGGGGCGTTGCAGAAGGAAGCAGGGTGCTTGTCACCACAAGAAACGAAGAGGTTGCAGCTCAGATGATGGCAGTCCACTCCCAACGCGTGCAGCCATTGCCTCTAGAAGATGGGTGGTCACTGCTCTGCAAGTCAGCTTTTCCTGCTTGGCAGCAGCAGGAAGCGAAGGATGACAAATGGAACCTCAAAGATATCGGCATAGAACTTGTCAAAAAATGTGATGGACTACCACTAGCGATCAATGCCCTAGGAGGGATGTTGTCCGCCCGGACCAAAACAAGAGAATCATGGGAGTATGTTCTCAATGACAGTACGTGGGAGGTAAAAGGGCTTCCTAAAGAAATTCACTCTGTTTTATACGTTAGTTACCAAGACCTGGCTACAAATATCAAGCGATGTTTCTTGTATTGTTCATTGTTTCCTAAAGGCAGATATTTTAAGATTATGAATGCAAAAAACCTTTGGATCCAGGAGGGGCTCATCAATGATGAAAAGAAAAAATCATCGCACGATGTTGCAGAAAGGTACTTCAGAATACTAGTACAGAGGAACCTCGTGATACTAGATCGAGTATACATAGAAGCAGCCTATTTTAAAATGCATGACCTTGTCTTCTCACTCTCACAGTTTTTAACTAGAAACGAGAATCTTGTCGCTACAGAAGAAAAAGAGATTTTAAATTCTGAATTCGATGGAAAGATAAAGAAGCTACGACGTCTTTCTTTTATAGGCGGCCATAATGAAACGACTAACATCCAAAAAAAATGTCTGCAAGAACAGGTGTCGTTGAGGACCCTTTTGATCTTCAATAAAACCATTGGTAATATTGATAATGACCTCTTCAATCATCTTCGTCATCTTCGGACACTATGGCTCCAAGGAACTAAAGTTACAGAATTGCCTGCATCCCTAGGTTCCCTCAAGCTGCTAAGGTACCTAAACCTATCACAGACTCCTATAAAGGAGTTGCCCATAACAATCCATAACCTCAATGCTCTAAGGATTCTTGATGTTTCTGAGTGTAAAAACCTCAGTAATCTTCCATCATGCATTATGAAGTTGCATCATTTGTGTTCTCTTACAACTAAAGGTTCTACATTTGATCATCTACCTCCGGGAGTGGGAAATTTGAACAAACTACAACTTCTTGAATTCATTGTGCCTCTAGACAAGGATATTGCACGGAAATCCTCTACTGTTAAGGAGTTGGAGACACTCACGGAGCTAAGGTTTGCATTGCGTTTTAATAAAATTTACTCTTGTTTTGTGTGCTAATTATCAACGTATACATAAAAAAAACCTATTTAATTCGAAAAAAAAAACTAACAATCTTATCTATGATGCACCAACATTTTATAATGATCAAGCATATTATGTCGGACATATACAAAATACTTACACTTCAAACTTGCAATCTATATTATGGTAATCTCTTATTCAATTGAATTTAAGAACTAACGTATCTTCTTGATTGGCTACCAGGCGATTAAATTTGTACAAGCTGGAAAGGGTGTTGGACAGCTCTCAAGCAAAAAGTGCTTCTCTCAAAGACAAACTACACCTCAAAGAACTCGCACTGAGTTGCTCGGAGAGAGATTCTAATGAAGTTTCTACAGATGATTCCGACAGAATTGAGGAGGTCTTTGAGGATCTCCGCCCTCCAGTCCAACTAAAAATTCTTAAAATTAGCAACTATTTTGGATGCAAGCTACCAAGTTGGCTGGGATCTCGACTATTTAACATTCGATTTTTGAAAATAACTGGTTGTAGCAATTGCAAGAAACTTGACGGATTAGGATTGCTGCCTTTCTTGGAAGCATTTTATATTGAAGGTGCATCATCAGTAAAAAGCATTGGCCCAGAATTCTACACAAACAACAACATAGAAAATGGAGCATATCAAAACTCTGTCTTATTTCGAAGTATGAAGCTATTGAGCTTTGAAAATATGGATAGCTGGGAGGAGTGGAGTAGTTTGGGTAAAGATATACGTGTGATGCCTTGTTTGGAGGTTTTGCAAATTTATGCATGCCCAAAGCTCAAGTCAATTCCCGAACAAGTCCTGTTTCATGCAGCTAGCTATTTGAAGAGAATAAGAATATGTAAGACTCCCCAACTCCTCCTAAAAAAGCTGCACTACCTCCGTTTTCTAGAAATCATTGAAATTGGAAACATCCCTTACCTGGAGAAGATCTCGGGAGTTCCGGCGCTTCAACGACTAAAGATAGAGGACTGTCCGGGGATTAACTTGGTGGAGCTCACACATACATTGCAAAATATCGACTGGAAAGACTTCAATGCCGACTCACTTCCAATGTGGTTTGACGGCAACATAAAAGTCACTTACCTGCAAATAAGTTGCAAAGAGGAATTGGTGAGGAAGATATGCGTCAACAATGTTCATGAGTGGTCTAAAATCCAACAATTTGACAACATCACTGTCTTGGACGAGAACGAACGTTTAAGGCTCACCCACCCCGAAATGCCCAATAGCTTCACTAAGTATGACGGGCAAGTTAAATGGGTAGACGTCTCAGGTCCAGTAGATGAGGAGCTAATTATGCTTAAAATACGACGCGGCGAAGTGGAGGAGCCCATTATGCCTGAATTCTCTTGTTACAGAATGCCTTTTCCTACATTTGAAGAGAATGACAATGAATTATGGCCTCATGCAGTCTCTGAATCATGTTTGATCTCCCCCTTTTGGAGCGGCTTCTTGTTTGTTTTGTTGGTGCTCATTACAATAACATGGGGGAGGTAGCCCACTACACCTAACTAAAATATGTCGCCCATATGTGCAACCTAACTTCTCTACATGCATGGCCTGATGGCCTTAATGACAATTCCGTCGTATACAGCTTGGGGTACAAAATTATCGCGTCTCTGTCACCTATTCTTCGCATTTATTATTCCTTTTGATATCATGAAGAGTTCTTTAATTGTTGTGGTATTATTTGGAGAGATGGTTAACATTCTCTCCCAGGTCTTGGAAGTTCCTTATTCTAGCTCTTTGCTTGGATTCTTATCTTCCTTGATGAATGATGGGTTTTTGGTTAATTACAGGATAAAGTAATATTATTTCCCATAGAAGGATTTATTTTAGCCTGCTTAGCTTCTCTTTTTATTCGTGTATAAACTGTTAAAATCACCCAGCGTTATATCAAGCTGCATCATGTTCATGATTTTATAGATTGTGATGAAGTAGTTACACCAACCTTTGAGGTACTTATCATCAGCTGCTGAGTCTAATTCCATAAGGCTAGGCCAGTATAATCAATTAATGTCTACTTAGAAATCAGAACATCATCTTAATGGTGTGTTGTAACATTCAAATGTATAATTCATGACATCTCACTTAATGACAAGTAATATTCATACACGAAAGCATATGAAATAAAATGCACATTTAGTTCAAATTTACTTATATCAGATACATTCATCAGATTATTTTTCAAGTAAATCATTAGCAGAGATTAGCATATTAAAATAAATCAAAATAGATTTTCATATTTGTGGGCTGGTAAAATTCATGCCCCGGCTTCTCTGCGGCCCCTTTCATTCTTTTGTGGGTAGTCAAGGAGAGTTCTAAAGTTCCGAGGCAAATTTTCATAATACGTATTGGATTTTGAATAAGACATTAACCAGAGACTTCGCCCTCATTTTGTGAGGACTTTATGATCTGAGTTAGATTTCCTAGAAGTGCAAGCCCCTTTAGTTATTTACTCATCTAAGTAACGAGAGAGAACTTTCAATTAAAACTAGTCGTTAACAACAAACACTAGTGGATTCATTTTATGGGCAAGGTCCCATGGTTTTTCCACTATTTAGGATTTTTTGTGTAAAAGTTCTAGCCTCTTATGTTTAATATACCCTTCTCTTTTATTTATATGTGAAGTGAATCTTTGTACAAAGATATGATGATAAACTCTATATCTCTCTACCTCCACCAATACTCATACCCACAACACTTCTATTTGCATAAAACAACATTTATATGATTAAAATTTATACCAAGATCAGCTATCTCTTATGTTTCACAAAAAAAAAATGTAAGGTTGAAGAAATTATTTTTTAGCATTAATTATTGATAAATGATCAACTCTATTTTAAACAAAGATTTGATTTACCAACCCAATATTAATCTTTTAAATATGAATTTAGCAGTAGATATTGGATAATCACGTTCCTAACCGAAGAAACGGTTGCTACATTTATTTACACTGCAAGCTGAAAAGTAAAATTAAGGAACACACTGAGTATAAACTTTGAGAAAAAAAAAAAAAGCAAAAGATTCACTTGTATTTGCCGTGTAAAAGAATGTATATAGAGACTAATAAATAGGTGTTGTACTATGTGTGTAGAGAAAGTTTTTTTTTTTTTTTTTTTTTTTTTGATATTCAGGACGAGGAACCCTCTGTTTCGCAGTGAGTAAATTCTGATTGACCTAGCAACCAACTCATATCATTTATCCGGGCTAACACTTAAGGCTGTCACGGCCGCCCAAGAGATTCGAACCTGGGACCTGATCTTTACCCAACAGAGAAAGTACTTTTTTTTTTGGACATTTAGGCCAATTAAGGCAAACTCACACACACCACGCATACACAAAGACTCGAATCCAAGACCTCTTAGTGAAGCATAAGCTCTCAACCAATAGGTCAAGGTGAGCTGTGTACAGAGAAAGTACTTTTGCTTTACAAATATAAGATGGATATTAATTTGATTGTTATAATCATATGATTTAATTATGATTGTGATGTTCGATGAAATGCATTGAATAGCAGTTACTATTACTGACCGTGACGTTTTTTATAATCACCACTTCTTGAATCTTGCGTATAATTTTTTTTTTTTTTTTGGGAATATTTCTTGCGTATAATTCTTAATGTGAACTCTTTGTTCAAAGTCTATTCATAATATATTCTTTTTGGGTCTTTGGAAGTCATGATTTTCCTTATTTACATTTACCTTTATGACATAATGGATGAAATTTCAGCCATGGAATGTGCATATACATTCATGGGCTATATGTCATCATAAACAAACACATTTTTTCTATCTCATAATTTTTTTAACGGGTATCTATCCGCTGTCACTCTGAATGGAGCACTTGGCGGCTTAATTAATCTCTCGACGGAACCTAGCATGGCCACCCACTGGCATCAGACCAACAATTTGCCCCACTGAAAAGGCAAGGGGGGATTTGAATCACAAAAAATAATTTTCTTACTGCTTTGTTTTTCATAGCGCAACTACCGCAATTCATTCACTATTTTTAATAGTTTTTTTTTTTTATGTGTGTTAGGAATATGTTTTCTACAATAGTTTTCTAAAAAAAAAATTCCTTTACAATAATTTTAAGATGATCTTTATAAAAAATTACAGTTGTCTCAAATAGATCTTTAACGAATTTGAATTTGTTAAGAGTCTCATATGGACCCTTAATCTTACCAAGAAAGTATGATAGGCTAACAAGATCTTTAATTGAAAGTTATTTTGCAAGCTTCATGAGAGGTTTGCCAATATAGTACTATAGTTGTGCTGAGTGATTGAATAGAGCAGATATTGGAGGGTGAGGATTGAATATGAGGAGAGAAAATGGATGGCTAGATTTGTAAGAGGACTGGGTTTGGTCCACCTGAGATAATTTTGGAGGACTTTGGTTTCCATCTAGTTGGCGCAAGTGAATACAAAGTGCTGTGCAGTTTGAAGTTTGGTTGGGAGTAAATGGGGTGGTCCCAACTCATTGATTGGTGATCATTGTGAAAGAGATGCATGGTTGGATTTGATGACTTTTATTCGGTCCAGTGAACGTACGCTCCTCTACGTTCGGCCACCAATGTTTTAGCTGCCACGTAGCATGAAGAAAAGTCGCCGACTCGACCCGCTATTTTTTGGGTTCTTGCACGTGCGTTTTTAATAGATAGTGGATTATGATAATTACTTCTAAATTTTTTAAAAAAATACTGAATAATTATTAGACAAATTAAAATTTTATTTTTTAAATTGAAAATTTTAAAATTTATTCAAAACTCAAAGTGCATGAAAAGTTTTTATTGAAAATCTTAAAACTATTTAAACTCAAATAAATTTTACCATATATATTTATTTATTTTTAAATCTGCTTGAGATGAAATAGAATACTTAAAAAAAGAGATACAAATAAAATCAATTTGTAAATTAAAAATTTTTAATCAGCATTCAAATTCCAACCCTTGAAAAGAAGAAAAGCATGGACCTCTTCATTGGCAGAGAAAAATTCCTCAAAGAGTTTCTCCTCTCTCTCCTCTCTCTCTCTATCTCTCTCTCATGAATGAGTAATAATTCTGTCAGGTTACCGAATGCATTCGGAAGCCAATAACAAAACATCACGTCACTAAAGTGCTCGGTACATGCGTTCGGTACACTCGGTATGCTCGATATTTTTACCGGACGCAATAAAAATTCCTCATGAATAGGACAAACCACTAGTGCCCCCACCCTGCATCCACCCCTAATAATATATATGTGATTACTCAGTTTTTAATTATTTTTATATTCGGTGCACTGAAAAACGTCAGACAATGTCAATTATAAGGCAGATATTTTTATGATTAATATTAGATGCAATAAATGGTTGGTCTCAAAAGCATTTTTCACGCGTTAGATCTGTGGTCTCTGCATTCCAAGAGAAGCTGAAGCTGAAGCTCTCCCTGTGCAAGTGTCAACTTGGATCGAACAGAGCTCATCCAAGCAATTAGATAGGCAAACGATCGAGATGGAATCGGCGGTCGAGTCGCTTGTTTCCAAGGTGCTTGGGACTTTGTTCAACATGGCAAAGGAGGAGCTAGCAATGCAGTTAAGGTTGGAAGACGATGTGAAGACACTTCAGGTCACCCTTGTACGTATCCAGAGCTATCTCCAAGACTTTGAGAAGAAAAACATCAAGGAAGTTGCCATGAAACAATGGCTTTACCAAATCAACCAGGACATCTACGACATCGAGGACCTGCTCGACGAATACGTTGCCCTCAAAGACAATAATAGTGAAAGCACGAGCAACGAGGAGGACAAGTCGAGTTCTTCTTCGTCTACAAAGGTACGCTGCTGTTTCCCTGTCAAGTGTTCCTGCTTCAAGAAGGTTGCATCCAATCATCGGATTGGTGTCGAGCTTCAACGGCTTAATAAACAATTGAATGACGATATCAAAGGGCAAATACCCGAATTATCGCTTTTGCCTAACTTTGAACCTACTGGTCCGGTGGAGAGCCAAATAACATCGATTCCTGCAGTGGTCAGTTCAGATATAGTGGGCAATAGAATACAAGAAGATGCTCGGCGCTTAATCGAGTTGTTGACCAAAGTGGATGACAGGGACAACCCTCTTGTATATGCCATCGTTGGAATGCGAGGGATTGGCAAAACCACCTTGGCCAAATTAGTACTTAATGATCACATAATCGCAAGCCGCTTTCAGGTAAAGCTGTGGGTCTCTGTATCTCAGAATTACAATGAAAATGATATATTGAGAAACATCATAGCATCTGCTGCCGGAGATGGTGAGCGTTATCACAAATTTGACTCGCTCAGTAAGAAGGTTATCGATGTCGTGAAAGACAGAAGGGTATTTATGGTGTTGGATGATGTGTGGGAGACGAAGAGAGTTTGGAATGACACGTTGAGAATCTTGCTAAAGAGGGAGGTTGCAGAAGGAAGCAGGGTGCTCGTCACCACAACAAACGAAGAGGTTGCACATAAAATGAAGGCAGTCCACTTCCAAAAAGTGCAGAAATTGCCTCTGGAAGATGGATGGTCGCTGCTCTGCAAGTCAGCTTTTCATGCTTCGGAGCAGCAGCAAGCAAAGGATGACGAATGGAACCTCAAAGATATCGGCATAGAACTTGTCAATAAATGTGACGGACTACCACTAGCGATCAATGCAATAGGAGGGATGTTGTCCAGCCAGAGCAAAACAAGAGAATCATGGGAGTTTATTCTCAAGAGCAGCTCGTGGGAGGTGAAAGGGCTTCCTGATGAAATCAACTCTGCTTTATACATAAGTTACCAAGACCTGCCTATGGATATCAAGCGATGTTTCTTGTATTGTTCTTTGTTTCCTAAAGGCAGATATTTTAAGATTATGAATGCAAAAAACCTTTGGATTCAGGAGGGGCTCATCAATGATGAAAAGAATATATCATCGCATGATGTTGCAGAGAGTTATTTCAAAATTCTAGTACAGAGGAACCTCGTGATACTTGATCGAATATATATGGAAGCAACCTATTTTAAGATGCATGACCTTTTCTACTCACTCTCTCAGTTTCTAACTCAAAACGAGAATCTTGTCGCTATAGAAGAAAAAGAAATTTTAAATTATGGATGCAATGGAAAGATGAAGAAGCTACGACGACTTTCTTTTATGGGCAATGCCGACAAAGCGACTGACATCCGCTGCAAATCTCTACAAGAACATGTGTCGTTGAGGACCCTTTTGATCTTCAATAGAACCATTTGTAATATTGATAATGCCCTCTTCAATCATCTTCGTTATCTTCGGACACTATGGCTCCAAGGAACTAAAGTTACAGAGTTGCCTGAATCTCTAGGTTCCCTCAAGCTGCTAAGGTACCTAAACCTATCGCAGACTCCAATAAAGGAGTTGCCCATAACAATCCAAAACCTCAATGCTTTGAGGATTCTTGATGTTTCTGAGTGTGAAAACCTCCGTAATCTTCCTTCATGCATTATGAAGTTGCATCATCTATGTTCTCTTACAACTAAAGGTTCTGCATTGGATCATCTACCTCATGGAGTGGGAAATTTGAACAAACTACAACTTCTTGAATTCATTGTGCCTCCAGATCAGGATACTGCACGGGAATCATCAACTGTTAAGGAGCTGGAGACAATCACGGAACTAAGGTTTGAATTGCCTATTAATCAAATTTTACTCTTGCTTTGTTCTTTAATTATCTATGTATACATAAATAATCTATTTAATTAGAAGAAAAAGACTAACTATATTATCTATTATACACCAAAACTTTCTAATAATCAAGCAGATTATGGCAGACATATACAAAACACATACATTTCAAACTTACAATCTATATAATGAGAATCTTTCTTCTGTTTTTTTTTTTTTTCAATTGAATTTAAGAACTAACAGATCATGTTAACTTGCCACCAGGCGATTAGATTTGTTCAAGTTGGAGAGGGTGTTGGACAGGTCAGAAGCAAAAAGAGCTGCCCTCAAAGACAAACAACACCTCATAGAACTCGAATTGAGTTGCTCAGAGAGAGATTCTAATGAAGAAGTTTGTAGAGAAGATTTAGACAGAATTGAAGAGGTCTTTGAGGATCTCCGCCCTCCAATCAAACTAAAATTTCTTAAAATTACCAACTATTTTGGACGCAAGCTACCAAGTTGGCTGGGATCTCCGCTATTAAACTTTCCTCCAATAACTGTACGAGTTTTGAAAATAATTCGTTGTAGCAATTGCGAACAACTTGATGGATTAGGATTGTTGCCTTTCTTGGAAGAACTTTATATCGACGGTGCATCATCAATAAAAAGCATTGGCCCAGAATTCTATACAAATAACAATGGAAACAACATAGAAAATGGTGCATATCCAAAGTCTTTCTTTCCAAGAATGAAGCTACTGAGCTTTGAAAATATGGATAGCTGGGAAGAGTGGAGTAATTTGGGCGAACAGATACTTGTGATGCCTCGTTTGGAGTTTTTACAAATTTATGCATGCCCAAAGCTCAAGTCATTTCCCTTCCTATCTGATGTAGCTAACTCTTTGAAGAGAATAAGAATATGTAAGGCTAACCAACTCCTCCTAAAAGAGGTGCACAACCTCCCTCATCTAGAAATCATTGACATTGGAAACATCTCTTACCTGGAGAGGATATCGGGACTTCCGGCACTTCAAGGACTTAAGATAGAAGACTGTCCAAGAATTAACTTGGTGGAGCTTACAGGTACCTTGCAAGGTATCGATTGGAAAGACTTCAATGCCGACTCACTTCCAAGGTGGTTTTCTACACAAAACATAGAAGCCACTTACGTCCGAATAAGTTGCAAAGAGGAATTGATGAGGAAGATATGCTTCAACGAAGGAAATGGAGTTCATGAATGGTCTAAAATCCAACACTTTGAGAACATCACTATCTGGGACGAGAACGAATGTTTAAGGCTCACCTACACCAAAACGCCTTGTAGATTCACTCAGCATTTTGGCCAACTTAAAATGAAAGACTTCTTAGATACTTTCAGGATGCAGACAAACAATCCTCAAACAGAAGGAGAGAATGGCAATGAATCTTTTTCTGGAAACTTTGAATCATGGTTGATCTCCTTAAACAATTCACTGTGTAATTTTGAATCGTGTGGCGAAGTGAAGCCGCCCCTTATTCCTGTTTTATACGGAAGGTCTTCTCATACAGTTGGCGAGAATGAAAATGAATCTTGTTCTCATGCAGTCTCTGATTCAAGTTTGAGCTACCCCCTTTGGAGTGTTTTCTTGTTTGTTTTGTTGGTGCTCATTACAATAACATGGGAGACCTGACATTATCTGCTGAGGGATTCTTATTTCCTTCTTTGCTTGCTTTTCATACTTTTGAGGAATATTCATATATGAAGTCGTGATGAGAGTTGCACGGGTGGATACACGGTGAAGGCGCAGGGCGTGGGATTGAGATGAGCAGGGCGCAGGGTACGGGTTGATGCACAGGACGCGGAAGCGAGGCACAAGGGGTGCTCGGGACGCAGTGCGACAGGAGAAGATCTGTCGGAAGGTGGAGCTAGAGCTTGTGAAGCAGGAAACTCAAGAAGGTGGTGGAGTAGTTCTTGAGGTGTTGTAAACCGTCCGGTGGATGCAATTGGTGGGGAAGACCGGTCGGGCTGTTCTTTGTGAACAACATATATTTTTTGTTCTGTAATTCTAGGACCAAGGTGGAGATTGTTGAATATTGGTCTTAGATTTATGATTGTATTTTGTTTAGGTTTCTTGTATGGCTTGTATAGCCAATAGTGTAACTTTTGGTGTTGCTATTTTGTGCTTATAAATAGGAACTTTAGGTACTTGTAATAGGATATGGTTAAGACTTAAGCAATAAGAAAATCTGATTTGCTACTCTGCCTCTCTCCCGCCTCCTCTCCCAACAAGATCAAGAAGAGGAAGAACTCTTTCCTCTCATCCAAGATTCTACAAAAGCTATAAAGGATACTTTAATAAAAGGGTCGGTTGGCTATGTATGTCACGCACATCTTTTAATTGATGGGTGTTGTATGGTTATCAAGACATATGGCTGACATAAGTTATGGATGTTATAGGGTTGGCTTGCTCGGCTTATCCTTTTTCTTTTAATATAAAGGATACTTTAATTAATGTTATAATATGACAAAATCTAATCACACAAATTAGATCTCCTAATCATGCTTATTAAATCTTCCAATTTATGCAATAATCAGATCTCCTAATTAATGAAACAATTAAATTTCCAATGAATTCAACATAATTAGAAAAGTAATCATCTCCCTAATCATTTACATAATAAGCCATCAAAGCTTTTCAAAATAAATCTTATTTAGATTTGAAAATATTTTCAAATCAACAGCCTGGAAAGCAAATTAGTAAGAAAGTTGTTCCAAACATATCATAAATAATATAAGGGATCCTAAATAATATAAGGGGAAGCCATACCTGGATGCCAAGCATCTTAGCGGTGAGTCAACGGCCTTTTTGATGGCGGCAAGACAACCTACATTTCAGATTAAACGCTAGATCTGATATAATAATCACTGCAAAGTCGTTACATTATAATTTGAGGTAAGGAATTTAAAAAGAAAATACCATTAACTTTGCATCAAACAAAACGTTCCCAAAAAGAAGAGCATCCAACCAATATGCATTTGAACTGCCATTCTCTCCATTCTTTGTATATTTGAGGAAAGGAAATTTATGAACCTCCTGCAGAACTCAGAAAAAAAAAACACGAAAATCAGGTCAGATTGATTTGCATCGCCTGGAACTAAACTACATGTTATCAATCTCGAGACCAGAACTAAGAAATTCGAACCCAAATCATCTTTCAAAGCATGAAGTAATAACCCCCTGCGATACATTCAACACCATCATCATCATCAGGAATACATTGAAAGAATTGGATCTCATCTGAAATCTCTTCTGACCCCGATTCTTGAAGACACAAAAATGCGATGAGAGAAAGTGACTGTAGAAATCAATAAAAACCTATCCCTTGAAAATGCGCGTAGTCCGGATAGAGAAGAGATGCAGTAGAAAATGCCGACGTCAGAATCTCTTGGGTTTTCACCATGCTAGAGTTTCGGACCTTCGGCGGCGGAGGAGATAGGAAAAGCCTTTCCTCGTGTGTCTAGAGCGGCAAGCGAACCAAATGTTCCACGAGCTACTCTTGTTAGGTTTGATTAAAGCTTGTTTGTGATGGTTTAATTAACTAAACAAACAAATTTGATCAATATTTTAGATACTCTATTTTTAAATAAGCAAATTTAAACACTAATGTGTTCGGATCATTTATATTAGCGAACAACATCATTTGAAGTTCGTGAACAAGCTCGATTAGTGTTCAATTTTGAACTCGTGAATAAACTCGATAAAAATAATTAATATTTGATTATATAATTATTAAATATAAATAATATAACGAACATGAACCGAACATGAACACTCATTAATTTAAATGAACCAAACATGAACACAAACAATAAAGCTCGAACAAAGATAAACCAAACTTGAACAACCTGATATTAAATGAACACAAACATAAACACTCGCATACTCGGCTCGGTTCATTTGCAGCCCTACGTGTGTCCGTCAAGGTTTCGACGAGGGGTGGAATGAGAGAATGAAGGATGAAGAGGACACGACAGCTAGGGTGCAACGAGTCCAATCGAGTTGGAGTCAAGTCTTTCTAGTCGAGCTCAATTGTAAAGTATCGAGCTCGAGTTAGAACTCGAGTTGAGCTTAAATTCGAACTCGTCCCACTATAAACGAGTTCTCGTGAGCCTAGGCAAGATTTTTTAAATATTATTAATTAATTTAAATATTTAAGTATTAAATTGTAATAAAATATTTTAAACCTTTATTATTAATTTTAAATATTAAATATTAATTTATTTTATATTATTAACTATTTTAAACATTTATTATTATTATTATTATTAAATATTTAAATTTATTATATAAAATAAAAATATTTTTAAAAAATTAATAATTATTCGAGCCGTCTCGCGAACTCATGAACCGAGTCTCACAAGCTCGAACTTGAGCTTGTTTATTAAATGAGCTCGAGTTCGAGTTTGACTCGTGGCCTCGATAAGCTCAGCTCGCGAGCCCATAAATGAGTCAAACTCGAGCCGATTCGACTTACTTACACCCCTAAATGACAACAGACATTGCCGCATGTAATAATTTTTTCATTTGAAGATCAGCAAATCACACGATCACCACGAAAGTGTTTTCTGGCAGTGGACTTTGTGGGCTGGGCTTTCTGATGCAATATATCTTTTAAATTGCCCCTAAACCATTCCAAAGTTGACGATTGGCTATCTTGTATTGGGACATTTTGATATTTATATTTTTTTTTTCCTTAATTTTATATTTTTCTTTTTATTTATTATTACTATGTCATGTGTTATTTATTTTGAAAATATTTTTTTCAGATAAAAGTTATCTGAAAATGGGAAAATTGATTGACAATGTATGAATATTTTTAATGAGCATATTGATCATCACAATACCTCTCAAATATTTTTAAATTTTATCAAATATTATACTTACAAAAACTTTGACTAAAACAATTTAATAGGCTTAATAAAAAAACATGATTAATATATATTGTCCAATGGATAATGAAAAACAATTTATAATATATTTTACAGTGAATTGGATGACGTGGCACATACGAATTGGCGTCCATCTGAACGTCGCAAATAATAATTTTTCCTCAACTTTAGGAGAACTTGCCTCAATTAAATGAAGCACTTACGCATCCTGAGGGACTCTTGCTTCAACCAGATAAATCACTTACCCATACTGCAAGATAGACCAAATAAAAGCATGTGAGAGCTTGAGCTCTATATCAAATGATAATTGAATAACAAATTTAAACAACGATGTATATCTTAATTAATTGTAGATTTTAACGATCTGCAAATGACAAAACTAATAGAATTATGAATTAATCAATACTATGAAATAGGTCAAATCAACATTATATGTAATTTCTCAATATTAATGTCTTGTCTATGTCCCATACACTAATCCAACCCAATTAATTGATCCCTCAAATCTAATTCATGCACAACTTTTAGACTTTATCAAACATAATTGATGGGATTAGAGACTAAAAAGCAACTAAAAGGAATAATTAGCTCAGATGATCATATCATAGAGATATATTAGGCCTCCAATTTCTCTATCTAATTTGATGGTGACTTTGACTTCTAATATATCCCTTATAAACCAAGAAAACTTAGGAATTAGCATAATTAACAATCTATTTAAGAAAAACAAAGGAACAAAGAGGCATATGTAAGAAAGGGATTGTTCAACTACTCTTTCACTAAACCTACTAAGAAATAATCCCTATTATTAAACAAAGATTAAGTATAACTAATCTCTACATATATTCCATTAGTACTATAAGATATATATAATAAATTAAAATAAAAACTATAGTAAAATTTAAATTATAGTAAAATTTAAAAATAATTTTCCACTTTTATGATATGTGGCGACAGTGCACCTCTCATAGCCGCGTAAAAGCATATTTATCAAACTATGCTGACATAGTTTTTATATTTAATGTCATTTTTCTTATCAGTTACATCTTTTTTTTAATACAATTTATCAAATCTACATAATAAGAATAATACTACCAAACTCAAGATATGGACAACCCACTAAGAGTCTCTTTGATTTGCTTGGAAAAAAATATAGCGTAAAATGAATATAGTATATTTAAAACATTTTAAATTATTTAATTAAGTATAAAGCAAATACAAATAATAATTATTTTTTATCTAGTTTGAAGTAAAATAAATACAATGTTAAGTATAACGATAGTAACGACTAGTGGTCGATGGTAGCAGTGGAAGTGACACCCGACGACTACGATAGGTTGTGGCTAGAGGTGTCAATATCGGACAAGACCCGAAAATCCGACTCGAGCCCGAACCAAAAATTTCGGGTTCATGTTGACCCGAACCCGAACCGGGTCGAGCTCGAGTTAAGGTTTTCGACCCTTTTGCAAAATCGGGTCAGGTTCGGGTTGACCCGAAAACCCAGTAATGACCTGGAATGACCCGCTGCCCGCCCTGACCAGGCATGATCGAAGCTGCCTGAGTCGTGCCCGAGGACAATCCCGCGTCTGCGAGTCCGTGTGTCGCGAGTTGCGACCCCAGCTGTCCCATATCGCTTCGTAAGTCACGATCGTCACGGTATGCCCGCCGCATAGCTTCCTGCTTGCACGCTGTGAAATTGCCTGCTTGTCTGCCACGCCGCTACACATCTGCCCACCGCATCCCGTTTCGACGCTGCCCGTCTGCTTCTCGTCGCGTTGTTCGTGGCTGCCGGCTACAAGCGCGCCAGCCGTCGACCCGTCGCTGACGACCTGCAACTGCGTGTGTTTCAGTGGATAACGGGTCGGGTCGGGTTCGAGTCTAAAAAATCGATTCACTTCTAAAAACGAGTCGGATTCGGGTTGACCAGAATAGTGCCGAGTCAGATCCGAACCCGACCCATGACCTGAAATTGACACCCCTAATTGTGGTAGTCAATGGTGGTGGTGGTGATGAGTGGCGATGGAAGAAAATAGTGGCAAGTTGGTGGTGGTCAATGCGGAGAATTTACATTATATTTAAAAACCGACTAAATCTAACAATTTATAAATGACTAAAATGAATCTAGATGGTTGATTTCAAATGCTTCAAAATTTTATTTTTCATTTATTTTACTTTAGATTCTTTAGGATCAATATTTTTTAAAATCTCTGCATTTGAAAAATCTTTGTATAGAAAAAAATTTAAAATATATGTTCACTTTAATAATGTCAATAGTTGTTGAAGGTTACATCAGTCAATTTAATGGATTC